CCTGCAGGGTATCCCTTTAAATGGTTTTTAAAGGGAGTGACCGGCTATGTAAGGTAGTTGAACTGAGTATGCAGTGTTGTGGAAAACTTCTTTCGGATTCATTTGAGACATATTAAACTGTTAAGATCTGTAAATCCTGAGTTTGAGCGCAAATTCGACGTTCAAAACTCCTACTTTGGGGGGTGGATACGTGTTTAGAATTAGTTTTTTAAATCAGTCCGTGCATAGCCGGTCACTCCCTTCAAAAGTATTTTCTGTCCATTAATTCCCTTTTTTGATCGAGTTGGATTTTTATGGGTGGTTTTATTGAAGTGCTTTATTTGATGACCGAAGATCATGACGCAGCACTTTTACCGTTTACAATGAACATCACGTATTAAACTGTATTTTAGACAGAGTGTTTTAATTCTTTTAATTTAATAGATGTTTTAAGATTCTAAGAATAATCCGGAATATTTAGAAAGATAAAGAAATTTTGTTGGAACATTCTCTTGGCTTTTGTTCGTGGTTTTGTAAACAATTCTTTATTCAACACTTAAAGGGACTGTCGACTTAATTTAAAGTTGAAAAAGGGGCGTTTCAACGGTGACCGTTAAACTCGAATTTCTAAGTAAATATGATAATTTCTCGTTGTAGTTTCTCCATTAAGGTGACTTGTGGATTTTAACCTAGGGACAAAAAACGTAGTTTACACAATTCAAAAATTAAAAGGTGTGAAAACGATCATATCTTCCGTATTGTTGCTCAAATAAAGGGCGGCGTTGCTCAAATTAAGGGCGACGTTGCTCTAATAAAGGGCGACGTTGCTCAAATAAAGGGCGACGTTGCTCGATTTAAGGGCGACGTTGCTCTAATAAAGGGCGACGTTGCTCAAATAAAGGGCGACGTTGTAGGGCGACGTTGCTCTAATAAAGGGCGACGTTGCTCAAAAAAAGGACAACGTTGCTCAAATAAAGGACGACGTTGTTCGAATAAAGGACGACGTTGCTCAAATAAAGGACGACGTTGCCCGAATTGAGGGCGACGTTGCACAAATAAAGGACGACGTTGCTCGAATAAAGGACGACGTTGCTTAAATAAAGGGCGACGCTGCTCGAATAAAGGACGACGTTGCTCAAATAAAGGGCGACGTTGCTCGAATAAAGGACGACGTTGCTAAAATAAAGGGCGACGTTGCTCGAATAAAGGGCGACGTTGCTCTAATAAAGGGCGACGTTTCTTAAATAAAGGGCGACGTTGTTCAAATAAGGGGCGACGTTGGGATTCTGACATGCCGTCATCGCCCCTCTAAATGGAGGGTCACTTAAAATCTTAACGCAGTCACTTTAAATATCAATAGTAAAGGAACATATTTTGTGGAAAATGAAGGGGATGGTTTATGGAAGGGTCCTTCCTTAGAACTAATCAAATTATAGTTGTGTTACTAATAATCACATCCTTTCAAACTATGTATTTACTTCAGGGAGTGCGAGTTTAGTGAAAGCCGCTGAAAAATATTTACAAAAAAAATTCAAGGAAAATTTCTTCTTTAAAATAAAATCGACTTTCATTTTTGATCACTAGAAAGAAGTTAAAGAGACTGTTACTGTTTTTGAACTTAGGGATATTGTATAACATGTTTCTAGACGAGAAAATATCCCAACAAATTTCCACAGAACAATTACAAATCATCTGGTTTGTATTGCCAGGCTGGTCAGATTGTGAACTCATTATTCAGACAGCGATGTATATTTTCTTGTAAATTATTCCCCCCCCCC